AGAGAAGGAGACTAAGGAAAGCGTGAGACTTGGAAGGGGCATGTATTTCCTCAGACATTTGGTTCCTCTCTCCCTCTTCCTCCTGTTCACTCCTCCCATTGGCTCACTTATAAATCAATGGACATCTGCTTTGCTTTATTTGAATTCAAGACCTAGAAAGTCCATGAGAAACAACCGCCCTTATTTGTGAGAAAGCTCTTCAGACGAATATTTGTCCTGGGAAACCATTACTCTAAAGGAGTTAGGAGAACAACCTACCGGCTGGTCTCAGTAACTTGTTTCTCTTCATTTCCATCTTCATTGTAGTTACTGCTCCCAGCCCTCATCTATCTTTAGGTGTTTCACCCATTCCCAGTTGGAAATGCCAAGGGTGCATTGAGGGTGGGATGGGGGAAGTGCAGCTGCTGAATTCCTTGTTTCCTTTGCATCACCCCCACCTACACACACACCTTGGTTGGTCTCGTGTTTTTCTCCATATGTGGAACTATCTCTGCTCCTCCTCCTGCCCCCAGGAAGAGCAGGTCCCCTGTGCCTCCTGGATAGTGACTGTATATGCACATCACACCCTGGGCAGGGAGTTCTTAAAAACAGGGATTTTGTCTTAACTGATTATTAAATCTGCCCCAGTCCATAGTGTGTGGTTCATACACGCTCATTAAAGTGTTGTTGAATGAATATACACAAGCATGAGGGAATGAATAATGAGATATTAGCACCTTGCTTTAGCTTGCTTAAAAATACTCATATACTATCGTCTTTTGAGAATTGTCAAAGATGTGGTCTGGGTTGTTATGATTCTCTTAAATAACAGGCAAAAATGTAATTTTATGAAGATTTAATGAGACAATACAATTTCAAGTGGTTTTTATCACTCAAGGTATTTAATAGAAAATTTATCAACATTGTCTTTAATGTGTTTAAATATTTATGAACATCACTTTCAAAAGGATGCATATCTGGGGTTATCATCATATATAATTCATTTCAGTGTAGTCCCAACTGTTTGGTGGTTCATCTTGTTTTTAGTAGATTCTGGTGGAACACTCTGTAAATTCTCTGGAATCTCACTGGGAGTTTCTTCTAATCTCATGGCTGTTTGTTCCACCTTGTCGGGCCCCAGATTGAACCAAGTGTCTGCCACAAGGAACTCAGAACATTTAGATCAGCAGTCCTGATCACAGTTCGTCGTCTTCTGATATGGAATCCAGATAATCTGTGTCAACATATAGGAGAAATCCGGAGAACAAGCTGTCTGCCCAACCTGGGTCTGAGAAGAGGCCGTTCTGGTC